TGATGTAAGCAAGACCTACTACAGCTACTGTAGGATCAGCTTAAGCTTTATCGCATTACAGTGGGACCTCACTTAAGAGCATCTTAAGAGCTGTTGTTTGGCCTGGGTTTCACTTTGACATAAGAGCAGCATTTTGAGTTAAGAGCTAGCACCAGACGGAGCATTCGCATGAGAGTACAGGGCTTTAGGGCTTCAAGGGAGCAGCCTCCATGCCTCGTGCTCATGTCTGCTTTGGGTGATTGCTGTCTGCTTTGCTCTTATCCACTTTGAGGAACTTTGGGTTAGTTGATTTTGTGTGGTTTTTATTCCTGGTATGTTTGGCTTCATGAAGCGAGAGAGGAATGGAGGCTGGAATGAGTACAGTATGGATAAAATGATTCTTCTTCCTCCTCACTTTGTGCTTCTTTGCTACAACTTTGTGCTTTTATTTATTTATTTAAAACTTTTGTTTCTACCTCTGCAGAGGAACTCAGACTGGCTAATAGCAAGGATTCAATGCTAACAATACAATCTAAAACATCATAACATCCACAAGAGATTAAAATACATATAGAATAAAATACATAAGCCAATTCGCCAAGATAAAATCATGTCCAACTCAGTCCATATATGTGGTCGATAACTTTGGTCAATTGCTGGTCTCAGCCATTATTATGGGAATGCCTCGTTCCATAGCCAGGATTTCACCAGCTTCCTGAAGGTCAGGAGGGAGGGGGCAGATCTGATCTCATTCGGGAGACAGTTCCATAGCCGGGGGGGGGGGCACCAAAGGCCCCGTCTCTCGTTCCCACCAGCCGCGATTGCGAAAGTGGCGGGACCGAGAACAGGGCCCCTCCAGAAGATCTTAACAGCCTTGATGGTTCATAGGGGAGAATACGTTCGGACAGGTAAACTGGGCCAGAACCATATAGGGTTTTGTAGGTTAAAAGCAGCACTTTGAATTTTACCATTTAAAAGTTGAAGTTGATCTTACTTTTTTATTGTTCCATGTGAATGTGCATTTATACATTATTTGTTATTAAAGTACATTTGCTTATTTAAAAACATGTAACAAAAATGGGGGGGGGTTGGTGGGCTGGAATTGATTAATAGCATTTCACTAGGAAAATTCACTTTGAGATAACAGCATTTTGAGTAAAGAGCTTGGTCACGGAACAGATGAAACTCTTAAGTCAAAGTATCACTGTATTTACTGCAGATCCATTGCTGCAACCTAGCATTGAAAGTCTGTGAGCCTCCTGCTAGACAGAGGGTGACAAGAAAAATAGAGATAGCATAAAAATACTTTTTTTCTGAGGCTTTCTTAACTGAGATAGGCCTGTATTTCTGATAATAAAATGGCCAGCTTTGGCTAATGCTCAGACGTGTTCTGGGATCAGGGCTATTAAAACCAGCAACTATAATAGAGCAACAAATAGTTATTACATCACAGCAGTACATTTGTTTGTAGTAAATGTATTTCCTTTCTTGATTATATAATCAGTTGCCGTAGCAATGCTGACTGGAGTGCGTATGATTCATCTTCCTAATTTACCAACATACAGTGCAATGAACTCCCTCAGCCTTGCAACACCTCTGCTGCAGGCAAATAGAAGTAGTCATCTCACTTAAGGCAATTATTGCCAAGTTGGAATCCTCCAGTTGTGTTGATGACAACAACCACCTCTTTCACTGTGACCGATGGAAATTGTAGTCCTACAAGCTGATTGCTATCATGTTCAAGCAGAGACTGTTGTAGAGAAAAGTACTCTGGTTTACAGGGTAGTTTACAGGGTAGTATCTGTCTTCAGATTAAGTTTTCAAGGCAGCATGGTAAAGAACAATAACAATCATGAATGCCCTTCAAGGGGTGACCTCAAGTTACAACAATTCAAAATTGAAAAAGCACACCTCATGATTAAAATCTGCCAATTAACTTTCAGGAAAATTATTCAAATATAGTTAAATATTCTGCCCTTTATTGTTAAGGCACATTTCCTTTTGCACATTCATGGAAAATAAACTTATTTAAAGAATTGCCACATGTCCTAAACACTATGCCTTACATCCAGATTTAATTGTACTTAAAATTGCCCTAATTGGAATTCTGGGATAACTAAGCCTAAATGTAGCTTCATATTGTGAATTGCAAATTCAAGCATAGGAAGGATAGTATAATATGTAGGAGGAAAGCAAAGAGAAATCATTTCACAATGATTAATGAGTGACACAAATTGTGAGAAGCGAACATCTCCTTTACCTTGATTATTTTGAAGCATTTCCCAAAATCTGCATATTTCCGGATCATTGAAAGAAGGAGCAGAGAATGTACAGCCCTCCAGATGTTGCTGAACTGCATGTCCCATCACTCATCATCATTAGGGCTCTAGTCCAACACCAGCTGAAGTGCCGCAAGCCTTTTATTTAGAGAGTATAACCAGTTAAAAGACCTACCATAGGTAGAAACACATTTCTTTTTACAGTCAGCTTTTTCTTGTTGGAGTTAGATCAGTGTCTTGTACATACAAGTAGGGAACATATAGCCTCCAGATGTTGTTGATATGCAACTTCCATTGGCTCCAGGCAGCCCAACTAATAGTGAAGGATAATGGGACGTGTAGTTTTTAAACATCAGGAGAATTCCTTATTCTCTAATCTTGTTTACAGCATAAAACCACATAGATTTTAATAGCTAGCCATTAAAATTCAAATTTTATCCACAAACTAATGGGGTTAAATGCAGCACAACTCGTTTGTATTCAATATACTTCCCGTTTCAGTGTCGGCAATTTTCAGGTGAGATTAATAAGACAAAAAGTTGGATCCAGGCTTAGTAATACTTAGAGCAGAACCAACGAAATTAGCAGGTTCCGAATGAGTCACAATTAATTTATGTCTGACTTATTTCAATGGGTCTTTATTTAAAATGACTAAGTTTGAAAGGCACTGCACATGGATGTAGTGGTTAACCAAGTGGAATGTTTGCTAGGTAACAAATGTTTTGTTTTCTTTTAAAACGAGAATAGCATTAATGATAGTTGATTATGTCCTCTCTTTCTAGTCCTCTTGAATCCTTACATAATGTCTTGTTAACATGCTATTTTTATTTTTAATGTATTTTAATTTCTTGTTCTTTTCTTCTTTTTGCTTCTTTTTTTCATTTACACAACAAAAAATAAATATAAAATGTATGTTTCTTTAAAAAGCAGCTTGGATAGCCAGGAGTAGATTCATTGCCCCATTGAAATGGGAGCTACTAGCAAGCTATGGTACCTAGCAGTAAAGCTGTGTATTTGCTAAGTAACTGGACTCCAGGTTATGCCCCTATACTCTGGGTTTGTCTGTGTGTCAGGGCAGGGATAGTTAAGGGAAAATTGTCATCAAATTTTGCTCTGAGCCAGGAGTTGATAGTTTATGGTAGTGTCCAAGGCCCCAGGATCCATCGACTTAACTATCACTGGAGAGCTTCATTTTTGGCATGGGTAGGATTACATGGTAATTGTAGCAGCAGTGGGAAAAGAGTAATATTATAGCATTTCTTTTAAGACTTTGCTTTTTCACCCTTGGGAGGGGTCCCAAATGGGCTTGTTTTCCAGATTGAGAAATAAGGAGAGCAATGAACTTTCAGAGGGTCTAGAGACTGTGACTTTTAAAATTAATAATGAAGAATGTGGTACATCACAACTGATCTGTTTTAGAAAATTCTCGTTTTGATGTTGAAGTACATCCTCTCTTTGATGGAATCATCAGAAGACATCATTGCCATTTCTTTTTTTTCAGAATACGAGATTTTCCAAGGCTTCAATTTGCCTTCTCACTTCTCTATTTGCTATGATTGCTGGAGAGTTATCCCATTGCACTTGTGATATTCTCCTTTATGATTTCAGCTGCTATCTGAGATCTGCAGTGTTGGGAGAACATTAGTAAGAATGATATTGTGGGTAAGATCTCAGGCAAAAATATATCTGGAGCAGGATTTGGACATTTTCTGTCTTTGTTGCCTCTGTCAACTGAGACCAAAAAGTTTCATGTCTTATTCCTCAAAAGCATATGGGCACTGTGGGTGAGGGTTTTGAAGACAGAAAGATTGAGATGTAGATTGAGATGTCATATAATATGTACAAAGCTCTTTAAGATGAGATGTTTGACATTAAAAAGTGGAGAAATCTTACAACTTTTATACAAGTGAGGAGTTTCTGCACAGTAGAAAAAAGGGCCTGATACAGAAGGAGGAAAATAAGAAAGGATGGATCAAAGAGTGTGAGAGCCACAGGTGTCAGAATTAAGATCGGAATGGAAGATGAATCTTAGAAGTGTTGCAGAGAGAAGATAGTAGTCATCAAGCTGGGATGGTAAAAGAGAACAATCGCTTCATCATACAGACCAAAAGAAAGTTGCCGGTTTTAAATAAGCTGGGAGCAATCTGAATACTAAATTATTTTAAAACCAGAACTTCAGTCGTAGCTCAAAATGGAGTTAAATAGTAAAAAGAAACCTTTGACAAGTCTAACCCTATGATGTATTTTGGTTTATCTGAATTATCCCTCCATCAAGTTTTGTGTGAGAGGAAGAACAGCATTTAGATAATTTAAAACACTTTTCCAATTAAATTGGAACAATGGGAAAAATATTGAACCAAAAATTAAGTTTTACTTATTCTTACGATTTGAAAGAAAATTGGTATAAAATAATGTATCAAAAAATTACTAAGGCGAGGCCTATGGGAATAGCCTGAATACGACTAAGCCTGACCCAGTCTGACAATATGAAATTCAACATGATACAACATTGAACATTGGCAATGCCTCAGCTAACAAGCCACCCCAAGAGGATTCCTTTATAGTCCATTTGGCTACAAAGCTGTCATGGTGGAATGAAAGTAGCAATGAAGGCCTCAGGGATTGGGACCTTTCATTCCTTTTCTTATAAAATTTATTGTTAGGTAGTATCTTGGTGCAAAACATGTGCATCATCACAACCATCCCTTCTGTGAGTGTGATGTAGTGTTTCTTTCTTTTCAGGTGTCAGTTGTTGTTTTAGGCAATAAGATGGATCTTTCGGAGGAGAGACAAGTAGAAACTGAGGTAGCACAACAGTGGGCTCGGTTGGAGAAGGTGAAGCTGTGGGAAGTGACAGCAATGGATGCTAAAACGCTGATGGAGCCCTTCATGGTATTGGCAAGCAAACTGTCTCAGTCCCAAAACAAATCAGCCTTTCCTTTGCCTGGACGGAAGACCAAAGGCAATAATGACGACAGCTAAAAAACTTTGCTGCCAGGGATGAGTGCCTTGAGTTGTCTCTTCATCCTCCTGCTGAGCCAGGTGTTCTATTTTGCTATTCCTTTGACACTTGTCAAGCGTTCGTCGTGCTTCAGGCTGCTATTGGTAAAAATTCTGTGTATTCAATTCAGATCCTTGGTTTCTAAAACAGTTGAATAGCCTGAGAGATCAAGGGCAAGGGTGGTTTTGGAAGTCTCTGCATAAAAGCACTGCAGGGATCATGGTGGTCTGTTTTTAATAGTTGTTTGGTTCAATAGGCATAAAGTGGCAAGGTCTAACAGGTTATCAAGGAAAAAGGTGCGTAAGGGTGTTTTAAGATGATGTTATTGTTGTGTAGGCATTTTGCCTTAATTATGGAAACTTACTTTCGCTTCCAGTTGTGATTTGGAACCTGCTACTTCTTCCCTTGTTTCTTCCTACATAAATTCCAAAAATGGGGAACAGATGGGAGTAGATACAGTGTCTTTCTACTGACATTACTAGGAGCATGCCTAAGAACCAGTTAGCTGACTACAGTTTAACTCGCTCTATGTATTGGATTGTAGCAGCTCTAACAGCAACAGCAAAAAAGATAACACGGTAAGTATGTTTGGGAAACCTGTTGTGCACCAGCCTTCAGCAGACAGATGATTTCTAATATAACAGGGCTTCAAAGTGTTTGGCCAAGTTGGGGAAATCTTAGAACCTGGGCCGGACTGCGGCGGAAGAATGTCTCCACTGACTAAGTTGAATGCAAGGCATTTAAGGAAAATTCAAGTTGTTTGCTTATCTCATTTTAGATATCAGAATGCACTGCAAGCCTCCAGATAGCTTGGTTTTCGAGAAGACAGCCTTTATTCGCTACCGCATTTGGGGAGGGTGACCAAGTTGTTTAGGATATTCTAGAATTCATAATCCAAAAAAGCAACTTCTCTAGGCTCTGATCTCTGTATTACAGTGCCTATTTGGTCAGTTTAAAAAAGGCAAATTGAGAAGAATGTCATATACTCAAGGGATTAAGATCAAGGAAGTCTATCTTCCAGTTAACACATGTTTTGCTTCAGTTGGTACCTTTCTCAGACAAGGAAAGCTTTGTACATGCTCATGGAAGCAATTAGATCCCAGGACATCTAGAATTTTACAGTTACTCAGTACTCTGAATTGTGCTTTGAAACACCAACAGTGCAGTTTTGTTGAAACGTAGATTCCCCCTCCCCCATTTTGCCCCATGTAATGCTTGGTCTCTCTGTTTTGTATTCTGTTTTTGGGTAGTGTACACACGCAGGCCTGGATTCAAGACTGTAGTAGTCTAGTCAAGATTATAACTCATAGTTAGGTTCAATCTACAGCCCCAGAAAAACAATAGGTTTAGGAATTTCACACCAGAGCTTTCTTTGTGTATCTGAAAATGGAATAAGCCTCATTTATTGACAGTCCAGCATTTCTGACTGGTTTATAAACTCCTTGTGTTAGCAGTAATCTGAGAGCACATGAAATCTGAGAGCATGTTTGTTTGGCTAATCTAGTTAATAACTGTGACTGTAATTGTCTTTTTTCATTTTCTTCAGCTAATGTTTCAGGAGATGCCCTCTGTTAAGAGCATGATTTATTCGCATATTAGTTGACTAATGCTTTCATTTATAGGCTGGCATCAAATCCACTCTTTCCCCTTCTCCACACGCAGGCCTTATTCCAATAGGGAATAAGGAATCCAATGTACCTGATGATTTGATAACGAAGATGAGAGTTCACATATTTATAGCAGCATTGCTCTCCATTGCTGTCATGATCCCATGCCATGAATAAAAGAAATCTCCGAAGTAATCTGTACTCCAATGTTCAGAAATTCTCAAAACCTGATATGCAGGCTTTTCACAGAAAAGGTTAAGTTCCAGTTTATCATTCTGATGCTCAGTATTTTTATGTGATGACATTGTCAGATGCAACTACATCTGACCATGCAGGAACTCAGACTTTTGTTTTATATGCAACAATAAGGAACAGAAACATGTAAAATCTAAATTGGGCATGGGAAACATGTGGCCTATGGAACATTTGCAAGTTATTCCCTCAAAGTTACAGCACCTCTCCATAACAAGTCAAAATTTCTGCCCTCAGTCAAAGATAATTCAATTAAATTTTAAAATATACTTTGGAGACTATGTGCTTACTCCAAAACAGCTAAGAAAAAGGTGGAAGAGGCCCTAGAAGCAACAGTGAATGATGCGATGTCACATTTGCTCACTGGAAATAAGTGGCATGACACCCCTCCTCCCTCCAAATTCAGTTTTGTTCACCCCTTCTCTGAATGCAACCCCATATGCAGAGAACCATACAGACTAAATAGGATCAGAGAATCACAGATTTAGAAGGGTTCATAAGAGCCTTCTAACAGTGTAAAATGGTCAAAAACATGTTTCTGAGTATTACGAAACATAATGTAAAGAATTATGGGCTAAAGAGAATCCTCACAGTTCAGGAATTACGCTGCACAGAAAATGCTGTTCTGTGCAAAACCACTATATGAGAATATGGTGTCCAATAAGTCCTGAATAGCAAATAGCCTTAAAAAAACCAGTGTGGTTTTCAAAGACTTTCTCACAGTGGGAAGAAAATAGAATGTATGTGTTGCTAACTTCAAAAAGAAGCTTAATGAAGAATTGCACTCTTAGCAGGAATAAACAACTATAGCACTCTTGATAGATGGCCATCCAACCTTTCCTTGAAAACTTCAAAAGCAGAAGAGCCACCATTCTCCAAGGCAGCTAATTCATTGCTTGAACAGCACTTACACTTGAGAAGTTCCACTTCTGATGTAGATAACGTTTTGTGTTTTGAATGGGGCATCATTCACAAACTTTTGCAGACTTCACTGTGGTGTTCTTTGCCAAGCTTTACAGACCTTTCTCAGCAAGATAGAAGAGATGTGGGCTTTTTGTACATATTTTTATTAGCACAGTAACAAATGCAGACTTAGGTAGCCCACAACATACAACCAATCCACTGAGTGACTCCTATTCCACGCCTTACAGTTAAACAGCTTAAGGTATTTCACTACAGGTTGCCCTAAGTCCCAATCAAAACCTTTATTTTCACAAAGGTAACCTGCCATAGAAAAATGAACACATTAACTACTTCCCCTATTCTAGGCAAGGCAATTTATAGCCGCACCGCCATATTCATATCAATCAGATGGCAGTCTTTTAAAAGGATCTGTTAAATACCAAACTCTCCCACCTCCCTGGGGATAAAATATTCCCAACATCTTTTTACAAAATAAAACAAAACTAAAAAAAAGCACATAGCGAGTCTTCTTGAAAGAACTTTTACATAAATGCCAAATATATGTACCTGTACAAAATTAAGCTGTTTTAATCTTTTACCTATCACAAGTAACCAAACACCCCTTTCCCACCCACCCCTCCAATTGTCAAAGTAGGTTACATTCTTCTTGGTGCTATATCAGAGCTACTATTGCTGCACTAATGACAGTCTTAAAATATGCTATTCCCCATTCTAGCTGTCTACTGTAGCAAGATACCTTAAGTTACAACAACAAAATCTTAGGAAATAAAAGACTGAATAAAATCTGTTATAGAAATACCCTACTCTTTTATCAGTTTCTCCCCTTCCCTGTCCCACCCCTAAGCAGCTCTTTCCATCACAGACGATTTAACACAAGGGTTTGACAAAAATCCAGTTTATGTAGCATATCTCTTGGTCCACTGTCTGGCCATTCTGTCATGCTCTGCTCTGTTAGTCATGTACTGAGTAGCAATACTTCCAACCAGGGGGTCAGCTGAAAAATAAAATAAAAATAGGATAAATCTCAGCGCATCACAGGTCTATGGGAAAAGACGCACTCACATTTGAAAGGAATATTTAAAGAACAAATTCAGTGACTAAACTAATA